ACAAGAGCCAGAAGGAGGTCATGGGTTATCTTAGAACAGTCTTAGCCAAGGAGAGCAGAAGTGAGCAGGGGGATTTAAGAACACAATACCCATGGGTGTGATGAATATGTCTGTAGAATGAGGCTGTGAGAAGGAGGAAAACAGGATGGCAACTGAATGAAGTGGAGTTATCAGTCAAGCTTTGCTTTTTAAAAAATGGGGAATTTTTCAGTGTTTGAAATCAGAAGGAAAGGAACCAAAGAAAATGGAGAGTTTGAAGGTATGGTAGAGGAAGACAATGTGTAGAAACAAGATCCCTTGGGTGGCCATATTGCAGATGGAAAGATTAGCTCTAGAAAAGAGGATGGACTTCCACTACATCCAAGACTTTTGGAAATGGTGATAGGATAGATGTTGATAGAATTTATTGAGCAAGACGGGGTGTGTGTGGGGTCAGCTGATACCAGATAGTGTTGGTCAACAGCTGTGAACAAAGGTGGGGGACAAATAGTTGAGGGAAGTACTGTGAGCTCAAGGGACAGAAGGAGGAAGACTGCACAAGTCTCTCTGGGGATCAAGGGAGTTGGAGATAGATGATCAGTGGGTTTGCCAGTGATGCATAAGAAATGGCAACATATCCTGACTTGCAAGAAATAAGAAAATTTGTACTTTTATGTGTATTACAATTTACATACAAAATTACACTGATTTGTATCATTCTGGTAAAATGTATGGAACACACCTAAATATAACCTTTTCCACTACAAAAATTCTGTAATCTCAATGTAGACTCTTTAATTTTAAACATTTATGCTACATTTCGAGGAATCTGTATTCCTCCAAGTATGTGTTCTCTTATCTTAGAGGTAAAATATGTATGCCTGACAAATTTAGTGCCAAACCTTCACTTTTTTTAAAAAAAGCATTTGAAACACTTGTTTCCATTGTGCTATGGGGTCTACTAGTAAAATCAAGTACTGTGATTTTCCGACTTAACGTATACACGTTATCATATAAACTGGTCACATTAAAATAGTTGCTCAGGTGGGTATGATGATCCATGATCAGAACAACTTTTCTTCTCTCACTTCTGCTGCTCCTTGGGATTTTATTGCCCTCCTCTTTTTTTCTATTAGGCATGCTGTTGCTTAGCTGACTTACATTCCATCACATATCATCTCTACTTCTCACCTGGTACAAGGCCACTCCTGGGCAAAGAGTCCACCTCAAGCAAAATTATTGCTGTCACCATCCCTCCGTGCATACCCCTCAAAGCTGATGTGCCAATCCTTTGCAACTGTTTTTGGAGACTTTGACTTTTTTTTGAGACTTCTAAAAGTAGCCAGTGCTGGGCTTGGAAACAAGATGAGTTTACATTCTGGCTCAGTTACTGAATAGCTATGAGACCCTGGGTTAGTCAGAATCAGTTTGGGGAAACCTTGTGGCTTAATTTTGAGGTACCCAGCCATATAATGGGGGTTGATGGTGGAGGGTGGGAGAAAAGGACCAAAGGTACATGTGGATTCCAGTCCCGACTGAAGTAAAGATGCCAGTCCATCCGTGACTCAGCTAGCAGTGGAATCCTGGGCGGAAGTGGGATTATCTTCAGGCCATGGCAGGAAGAGGATTGAGAGGCTTCCATCAGGCTTTGACCACTCCTCCCAGCTGAGTGTCGACATCCCTGGGTTGCCTCACATAATAGGCTTTTGTTAGAGTCTAAGCTCCTCAATAGGAGAGGTTGTTTCATTCTTTATACCTAGCATAGTGCCTGGCACCTTAGTAGGTACCTGATAAATAGTTGATGAGGTAGAGGGCCAGGAAGAGGTTTCCTACCTCAGATATCAGAAGCAGAGAGGTTCCAGTTCTCAAAACTGCATGAGGAATAGAGGTTTCTAGGCAGATTTGGGGTCTTTCAGAAGAGGGAGTGGATTAGTGATACCATGGAGAACTCATCTGTTAAGGAGATAGAGCTTGCTTTTAAAAAAGGCCAGGAAAGGCTGAGAGTTTCTATAGCTGTCCATCACTCTTTAGCTCCCTTCCCACTCCTCACTGTACCTCCAGGTCCCTCTGTCTCTGTCATTCTCTGCTCTAATGAAATTTCAGGCTCAAGCCAACAACAGTGAATTCTTACTTACAATGCCAGGCTTATAGGGAGAGGGAATCCCCAATCCTCCTGAAGCAGAGTGGGCTGGGAAAAAGATGTGCTCTTGATAACTTGCATGGGCATTTAAGTTCTATGCTTTGGAAGGCGTATGGGTTAAATGGGATTTTGTGGATTACACTAGTAAAGGGAACCAGATTTGAAGCCAGAGGATCTGGGTTCAAATCCTGGCTCTCCCACTGGACCTTGGGCGAGTCTTTTAACTTTTCCAAACCTTAGTTTCCTAGTAATGTGACAGGTTTGGAATAGATGACCTCTAGCTATCCTTCCAGTGGTACATCTGTGATCCTGGGAACCTACCATGTATAATGTTGTTTTTCTGGAAAAAAAAAATTATAGAATGAGATTATTGGATCATAGTTCAGTCCCTTAGTTAATAGATGAGAAAATTGAGTTCCAGAGAGGTAGAGATTTGGAGTCAGAGGAGCCCAGGTTTAAATATTGGCCGAGCTATTTAGTAGCTAGCTCTGTGACCTTGAGGAAGTCACCTCTGTGGACTTAATTTTTCAAATGAAGGGACCTCAGTGATGACCTCTCCCAGGGCCATCTGTCTGTAAATCTATATTCCTATGAACTCAAACAACTTCCTCCGTTTTCCACAGTGATTTTCATAAAGGCTGGCTGTCTGGGAATGGGAAAGGAGGTAAGGGATAGAAGGGGAACATTATAAAAACAAAATTATATTATTTTTTTAAAGTCTTTTACTCCCACCCCCTGCTAGGAGAGGGAGGGGAGGCCTAGAGAAATTAAGTGATGTACCCAAGATTATGCAAGTAGTACCTCTCAGAGTCAGGATTTGAACCCAGACCCTCTCACTCCAAATCCTATACTCTTTCTAGTGATCTATACAGCGAAATAACTATTCTGAATAACTGATTTACATACAGCCTTTCAATTAAGCTGTTACTTTCATTGGATGATTTGTTTCCATTTTATTTTCATTTTAAACAATTTTTGTATCTGCAGTTTATTATTGAACTATAGTTTGTTAGAGAGAATATTGCTTTGTATGGATTCTGGAAGGTAAATTAGCATATTTCTAAACTAAAATTTACATACGTAATCATCCTTGAAGTGTGAGTAGCTAATTCTTGGCACTAATTCTAACCTTCCCAGCTCTGACATAATAGTGAAGGTAGCCAGTTAATTAACATTTATAGTCATATTATACAATGTGTTATATTATAAACACTTAATAAAAGACATTGCCTTGAAGTTATGTTAGTGACTGGGTTACAATGTGGTTTTCCTTACTAGAGTCATCTTAAAAAAAGGAAAAACAAAAAGGCTCGAACAGTTCATTTGTTTCAATGAGTCAGGATCATGTCATCTAAACTGACATAACTCTGAGAAATAATCACCCTCAAATGAAACTGATAGAGCTCTCCCTGAGAATACAGATAAACTTCCTAACAGCTAATCTGCTAAAAGAGAGTGCTGACAGATGACCTTCTCCAGGCACATGAAAGCATTTCCCCTTTCCTGCAAGGGGCCACCTCTTACTTCAAAGGTTTCGTAATTGATCCTTGCACTTGAGGTCATTCCTGACCAGTGGAGTTTGAGACAATTCCTGACCAGCAGCAAAAGTGTTTTAATTTGAGCCTTAAAATATGTGGCACCACTCAAACCTCTGATTTTTTGTCATTAAAGACAAGAAATCAGCATCTGCTAGAAAGCTAAGGAGATTTTTGCTTGAATTTAACACAGGCCTTGCACTCAAAGTGCTGATAGTATAGATGGGGAGATAAGACAAATTAAGGGCAATAGTATGATATAAAAAAATTAAGAGTTTGAGTAGATATAAACTGGAGATTCAATGCAGCATGCCACTGAAGTGACTTCTTTCCTTGTAGGGATCACCTGCATGGCCACTTATTTTGGTAATCAAGAGAAAAACACAGAATGAACAGCTTGTTCAGAGGAGATGATAACTAGATTTTCAGTTTATTCTTATAATATTTCATCCCAGACTCTCAACAAACACACACACACACACACACAGAGCGTCTAGTCAGGTGTTTTATATATTGAAAGGCAATGTGGCATTGCCCTAGCCTTAGAAACAAGAAAACCCGGCTTCAGATCCCAGTCAAGACACTTAGTTGTATGACCCTGGGCAAATCACTTAGTTCTTCCACAAACTAAATTTCCACATATGCAAAATGAGGGTAATAATAGTATCCACCTCTAGGGTTATTGTAAAGATCAAAGAATAGTAAAAAGTACTTTGCAAACCTTAAAACTCCATATAAATAATAGCTAGTTACCTAGTAGGCGCATAGTAAATATTTTTGAATGAATGAATTGGGTATAATGAGGTTTGAATGAAACAGACTATGCTGGAGGCTGAAATTAACCAATCCACAAAAGCAGAAGTCCACATCAGACAGGAGTCAAGAGAAACCACACTAGTTTTTTCTAGCTGGAAACTTTCTAGCTAGGTCTTTCTAAATTTCTAACTAACTGGAGTAAAAGGGATTTGTGTTTAAATCTTCCCTCTAATGTTTTATTACCTGTTCAAGAATGAACAAGTCACTTAATTCTTCTGGACCTCAGTTTCCTCCTGTATAAAATGTAGAGGTTATGTTAAATCCCGTTTCAGGTCCTTTTCAGCTCTAGAGCTATGATTTTAAATCTTTATCAATAGTAGATGGACAATAAGAAGTATAAAAAACTGTCTAAATTTAGATTTAATTGATTCAGGCAAGACTACATGATTGAGGGAGAAAACAGAGGCATAATACATTTTTCCCATTCCTGGAATGTCGCTAATAATTTCCTGGGCTATTGAATTACAGGAAAAATATTGAATTTCCTGATTAGAGAGAAACGTTAATACCTTTTTCTTTTTCTTTCCCAGCAAGTAACTGGCCGAAGTTTTGGTGACAGAGATTTTCGAGCAGGACTAGAAAATGGCATCCTGCTTTGCGAGTAAGTGAAGATTCATTTTAATTGTTGCCATTAAAAGGGAAAAAAAGAGTCACATTCATGTTGTCTGTAACACTTTGAAATTACCCTTTGTTTTGGTCTCATTGATACCCTGTGTGCTTTGTCAAGCTATAACTGTGGTGTCATACTTGTTGTAAAGGTCTGGGCTGAAGCTTTCTTCCTGTCAGTTAATGTAAGAAGGCATGAGAATTTAAGTGATTTGTCCAGGGTCACACAACAATTGATAAGTGTCTAGGCGGAGATTTGAATCAAGGCCTTCCTGTCTCTAATCCAAGTGCTCTGTCTTTCTTCCTCAGATAATATACCACATGAAAACAGAATTTACTTTATCTCCTTCCTCTCTCCTTTCCCTCATCTTTTCTCTGTTCATTTCCTCTCTTCTCTGCCTTCCTCTTTTCTGTCTCCTCTTCTCATTTCTCAACTGCCTTTCTCCTCTGTTCCTTCGTCTTTTTTCCTTCTCCTCTCTTTCCTCTCATCTCCTCTCCCATCATTCTTTTCTCTTCCACTCTTTCTCCTTTCTTTTCTCCCATCTATCTGCCTCTGTTTTCCTCTTCTCTTCTCCTCCATTTAGTGGTCCACTCCTTGATCAATGCAATGAATCATTTTTAGTGATTATGATTCAAATATGAATACTAATTTCAGAGTTATTCTCTTTGTCTCCCTCTCTTTCACTGATCATGTGTGCTGTATCTTGGAATGCTGTAGTAAGTTTTTTTTTTTCCTTAATAAAACAGAATCCTATTTTTAAACTAGTAATGAAATAAGCAGCAGCTGTAAAAATTTTAGGAGGGAGGACATGAACTTCATCTGAAGTTTTCAAGGATTGGATTTAATAGTTACTACGATTTGGATTCTGATAATGGTTTTTTAAAATCTTTTTTTTCCTTTTAAGAAACAAAATAAAACCAAAAAAAACAAGCCAAATTGAAATTCATAGTTTTGTCTTTGAAACAACTTTTAAAAATCTACATCTTAACAAAACATGTTATGTGCAACTCAGTGCCACAACAGTTTGAAACATTAATAGCATTTCTCTGTGGTTTTGCTCCTTCTTCATTGGTCCCAGCTGCAGGTTGGGTTCCTTGCAATGTGCTTGTTATTGACAAAGCCTGCTTCTGTATATAGCCCTGTCCTCTTCAGCAGATTTACCCACATGCATGTCTTGCCTTCTGTTAATTTACAGTCTCAGGTCACCAAGTAGACACCTTATTTTAGAGATGTTCAGATGCTCACATAACTAGAAATCCTAAGTAGATCTATAATAAAGTTGAGTTGAGTCCTATCATGCACTGTTATTTCCAACTCAAAAGCTTGATGCAAAATCCTTCACGTTTATTCCTAAACTCTCTCTTCCTCTACAACTTCACCACAAGTTTTTTTGAAACCCCGTCTCTTGGCTTCTTTGAGAGACAGGCAGCTTTCTCAAATTGCAGGCCAAATTAAGATACTTGGAAATTCTTTCTTCTTCCCTAGAGTCCGAGAATTATCAAATCTGTTACTTTTTTGAGACACATATTTGGACTTCTTTCTCTTATGTACCATGTTAGTCCAGAAAGACATTCAAACTTTTGACCTTTTGTCTTTTTAGTATTTATCCATCTTCTCACTGGGAATCCTCTTTCTCTTCCCTCATGCTAAATAAAGGGAATGGGTTGAAGATGAAGGACTTACAACTGGAAGGAACCTTAGTGATCACCTAGTCCAAACCTCCCTTTTGCAGATGAAGAAACTGAAGCCTGGAGATTTTAAGTGATTGGTCAAAGGTCAAAGAAAAAAACGAGCAGCAGCATCAGGATGGGAGCCTGCCTAGAGATAGGAATTCTCATTAGCAGCACCTTTCTTTTCTGTGTGAAGTGATACTTTGGCATTTGGCATCCTTTGTCAATAACAAGCACATTGCAAGGAGCCCAACCTGCAGCTGGGACCAGTGAAGAAGGGAAGAAACCACAGGGAAATGCTATTAAGGTTTCAAACTGTTGTGGGGCAGAGTTGAGTGTACCATGTTTTGTGGAGTCTTGGTCTTGGCAGCTTTATTTCCACCACCAAGGACCTCTAGCGGACAGATAATGCCGCCAGTGAAATAGTGGTACCTGTACGAAGACATCAGAGGTGGTGTGAACTGAGTTACCCGACCTGGCACCTGAATGCTCAGGCCCCTGAGCCCTAGAGTCTGAGGGCAAGCCCAGAGCAGGCAAAGGGTCCTTTCTGAGGACTCTGGCTTCTACCTCTTACATACAGAGACAGAAAGAAAGTTCTAGCCCCAAAGTCAAGTGGTTCAGTCAGGAGCCAAGAAGTTAAGTTTTAGACGTTCAGTCCGTCAATAAGTCAGTCAAACACTTATTAAGCACCTATTATATGTCAGGCACTTTGCTAAGACGAGGTGAACTTGAAGTGGTAGACTATCCAGGCGGAACTATCTCAAGGGCTATTGGGAACGAGAAACTTGTGAGATGGATCAGGACTGGAGATGTAGAGTTGAGAATCATGTGCAAGAAGGCGACAGCTGAATCAGTGATGGGGGATGACATCACAAGTGGATTCTGATAGAATACCCAAAGCTTGGTGTCCTTTTGGAGACACTCACTGCATTGCATGATACTAAGTTCTGTAAATGGCTTCTCTCCCCCTTCTAGTTCCCTCTTTGTCCTCTACATCTTTGTAATTTCTGTGGTGCCCAACACTGTGACTTGCCAGTAGAATCTTGGATGAACCAACTAGTTGCTTTATGATATGCTGAGAGTTTTAAAACATAAATATTGTGAGGTATTGCCTACAACTTTTTTCAGCTTGATATCTGACATAGGTGGCTCTCAGTAAAAAGGGTCTTGGAGTTAGATGATGATGGCTCCTAGCCTAGCAAAAGTACCTTCACAATACATTTAAAAAAGAACATGTTTCTTTTTAAAAGGTTGAGTGATTTCCCCACACTTGTAATAACTCTCTCTTCTGATAAGAGCTTTTGAATTCTTCATTTCAGGGCAAAATCCTCATCTGGACTTAATTTGTTTCTTAATTTACTTGCTGCAGTTTCTTTTTCTTAAATCATCTCTTATTTCATTCAAGATCAGCTGATTTGATTTCCAGGGAGAAAATTCCTCTTTCTCAAATTCTGTCAGTATAACAGTGTTTCTCACATTTCAGTGTCTGACCTTCATTTCTTCCATTCTCATCATCCATACCTTTAAAGGTCTCAACATACTGTTCATTCTTTGTCTCTTCTCTATCAGATACAAAATCAAAGAATATGAGTTGGGAGGGACCCTAGTCCAACCCAAACAGATTCCTTCTTTCTTCCCTTCCCACACAGATAAGCATTCACTAGTTGAAAAGCAGTATGATTTAATAGAGAGGGATTTAGAATCAGATCAGATGAGTTGAATCCTTGCTCTATTACTTTTCAGCTGCATATCCTTGAGTGAGTCACTTAATTCAGTTTCATCATCTTTGTAATGAGGGGGATTGCCTTCTGGGCCTCATTAACTTCTAAAACCACATACTAACAGTATTTATGTTTTATTGAATTTTTATTTATTTTATTAAATATCTCTCAATGGCATTTTAATCTAGTTTGGGTATTGTGGGTTGCGTGTTGACACCTCAGGGCTGGGTGGCTTCTAAGGCCTTTTTGAACTCTGTATGATTTTATGTTTGGCTCTTACTAGCCCTCTTTTCTCTATACCTCCTCACTACTTTATACCCTTTTGGATCCTGACTGTTTCTCTTCTACCCATTAAGTTTAATTTGAAGCTCATTTTATAGGTCATGCTCTCAATCAATAGGCATTTCATAAAACTAATTCCTAAGTGCCTCTTGCATGACAAGCACATCTTTAGACAATGGGGATGTAAGAGAAAAATAATGCAGTCCTTGCCCTCAAAGGGCTTACATTCTGTTGGGGTTAGCAACATGTAGATACACACACACACACACACACACACACACACACACATTCTTATTAATGACAAAACAAGAGGCTTTTGAAATGCTGTGGTCCTTCCTCCTTGAGTACTTGCTTTTCCTTATGGTTGTGTATTCTGTCTCCCTTTCTGCTAGCAGATTCTGAATCAGATTTTTTCCTAATTTTCATATGTGTATATCTATGTTATAGGCTCCTCAACTCCCTTTAGCACTGCTGATTCCCAGGATGAAACAGGTTTCTAGTGATTGCAGTAGAAAGCAAAGTTTTTGGGGAGAGCCTTCACAGTGCTAACGGGAATCTAGGTGATGCAGTAAATAGCCTGGAGACAGGAAGATTCATTTTCCTGAGTTCAAACCTGACCTCAGACATTTCCTAGCTGTGTGACCTTGGGCAAGTCACTTCACCCTGTTTGCTAATTTAGTTTCCTCATCTGTAAAATGAGCTGGAGAAGGAAGTGGCAAACCACTACAGTACCTTTGCCAAGAAAACCCCAAATGGGGTTAGGAAGAGAGAGACACAGTCGAAAAATGACTGAACAGCAGCAATCGTGGTATAGCTCTAACAACCCGCAAAGGTCTACAATAGGAGTATTTTAGAATAGGAGCAATAACTATTGGAGAATCCATATGACAGGCAGTGTGGTGTAGCGGATGGAGGGCTAGATTTCAAGTGAAGAAGACTTGGGTTTAAATTTCCCTTCAGACAGTTACTAGCTGTGTCACTCTAGGAAAAAAGTAACTTACATTTCTATGGGTCTCAGTTTCCTCACTGGTAAAATGAAGGATTTGCATTTGATGACCTCAAAGATACCATCTTTTTCAATCTGTGATCTCAATTGAGAATAAAATCAGTAGTGTTTAGGGATGGTATTTAAGAACAGCTGCTTTCCTCATTTGAAATTGTTTGGTGCTTCTTTTTAACTTGGAAAGTAGGGATTTGGTTGGCAACTGATGATAAGGAATGCTTAAAACCCCCAGTTGACAAATATGTAAATTGCAACTGAGAACCCTTTCTCTTTGTTCAAGCCTAATCTTGTTATTATTAGTGGAGCCAATCCTAATGG